CCTGTCAGGTGGTGGACTAGTATTTTTGCTTTTGAAAAGGAGATGCTTTATGATAAAGAGGTTGAGAGCAAGAGTCATTTGCTGGAAGACGATTCTTAGTTTACTCCAAAACAAAGAGAAGCGCACTCTGTCTTTTTTTCTCCAAGAAGCCAAGGGCTCTGCAGACCAAGAGAACACTGGGGAAGGGTCTGAAATATTGGAGAAGGGAGTGAGCAGGATATTCAAACAGGCCAACAAGAGGATTTATGGCTAATGGGATACGACAGCCAGACAGACTCTCATTTAGAAGGCAACAGGAAGAAAAGCACCAACAGCACAGCAACAGGAGCGAAGAAGTGTGTTAATAAAGAAGAAAAAAGGCAATTAAAGATCTGAACTTGAGGAAATCCTTCTGGACTAAGAAGTGCACATAATGCAGGATAAATAAAAAATCCCCAAGTCTTTCATGCGACTGAAAGGTAGACATGCATGATGCATACAGGATGACTCATACAATGCATACAGAATTTTGAAAACACCTTTGCTTTCTACTGGTATATTAATCATAGGACCATTTACAATGAAGAGAACATCTGCTCAAATACATGAGTATCCAACATGGTCCATGGGGAGCTCATATGCCCCCAATGAGGCATCTTTCAGCTTAACCACTGGGGGCATTTTCTGTATTCTTACAGGACATCACTATAGCATATCACATTTCCCAAATAAGTAATGATGTTTTTAATCTAGCCAGAATAGGAAAGGTGGCGAGAAAAAAAGATCTCACAATAAACAAAGCTTACAAATAAGTAGAAATCTAGAAACATTATTGGTTTTCTGAAAACCAATTTTATGTGTTTGAAACAAAAATCTTTGCTCAATTATGCCTATGTATTTTATGAAATGCTATGTTCTACCTCATTCCAAAAGAATCTGACATATGTGATATGCACAATGTTAAGTAGTTGTGACATAAACATTGGCAACCTCCCACAATTTAGGCCTCACTCTTCTCCTTGAAGAGTGTCAAGAGTGTCAAAACATGACCAGAGGGTCAAGTTTCCAAAATCAGTGACCCCTATGAATTGAATTGAAGGACTTCTGTTATTGTCAGAGGAAGACTGTTGAAATGTATCTTAGCATTTATTTTAAGTCTTTCCTGAACATCAATTATCAAAAAAAAAAATAGTGGTTAAATTATGTTTGAAGAGTATAAGTTATCGTTAAAGTTTCATGCGCCTTTGAAAGAACTCGAAGTGATGGCAAGCCTTCTGATCTCAGTGTGTCAGCATTTTGAAAAACCCTAACTTAACTCTGGTGCCGTGTCACATATAGAAATTTTTTGATATTTGCAACCATAGTAAAACAAAGATTTGTATTTTTGATATTTATTTTATATATTTAAATGCCATTTAACAAAGAAAAATCAACCAAAAAAATGAGTTCGCGTGTCACCTCTGACATGCGTGTCATAGGTTCGCCATCACTGAACTAGGGCGTTGCAATGGTCTCCCCATTATTTCTGATTCTTTTCTTCTCAGTATTTCCTGTGGATTCAGAGTTACATTGACAATCTGCTATAAGCCCTTAATCTCTCAGTAACTTCTAGGAAAAAATAATTTTATTTTATTACTTAGAACTGTAGTTATCTAAAGTTTGCAAAGGACCAAATGCTAAATTTACTTAATAAGTTCAATCTTTAAGCAAGAGTTCATATGTTTTTATTTAGCAATTTATCACCAACATTATTGGCTACCTTTAAGTTTTGGTGTTTTGGGATGTGTTTGTTGTGTTGTTGTTGTTGTTTTTATGTACAAAGAAATAAACGGGTTCCTTTCTTCCCAAAACTTTGCCATACTGTTTTATGCTTTATGTTGTCTTCTAAAGGTTAAGAGTTATTTTATTAGAAGCATGCTTCCTACAATGATCTTAGGGAATTTTAGAAAATTTGATGCCCAACATAAATACCCTAGAATTTAAGAATGTGGTTTACCAGTAATAGTTACATTGTTCATTATTGGTGCTATGAAAATATTCCAGTTGTACTATAGCTCTAATAAGAATATGGTCTTTGAGGGCAATGGAAACTAAAGAGAACATAAACAAATGGGACTACATCAAAATAAAAAGCTTCTGTACAGCAAAAGAAACCATCAACAAAACAACAAGAAAGCCCACTGCATGGGAGAACATATTTGCCAATGTTATCACTGATAAGGGTTTAATCTCCAAAATTTGCAGGAAACTTATTCCACTTAACAAAAGAAAGATAAACAACCCAATCAAAAAATGGGCAACAGACCTAAATAGATACTTTTCGAAAGAGGATATAAAGAAGGCCAAGAGACATATGAAAACATGCTCAAAGTTACTAATCATCCAAGAGATGCAAATCAAAATGACAATGCAGTACCATCTCACACCTGTCAGTGCAGTGCTGGCAAGGATGTGGAGAAAAAGGAACCCTGGTGCACTGCTGGTGGGAATGCAGACTGGTGCAGCCACTGTGGAGAACACTATGGAGTTTCCTCAAGAAACTAAAAATGGAACTCTCATTTGACCCAGTTATCCCACTTCTAGGAATATATCCCAAGAAACTAGAAACACCCATCAGAAAGGATATATGCACCCCTATGTTCATAGCAGCACAACTGACCATAGCTAAGATTTGGAAACAGCCTAAGTTCCCATCAGCAGATGAGTGGATTAAAAAACTGTGGTACATCTGCACAATGGAATACTATGCTGCTGTAAAAAAAGAAGGAATTCTTACCATTTGCAACAGCATGGATGGAACTGGAGAGCATTATGCTAAGCAAAATAAGCCAATCAGAGAAAGATAAATACCACATGATCTCACTCATTTGTGGGATATAATGAACAACATAAACTGATGAGCAAAAATAGATCCAGAGATAGAGAAGCATGGAACAGACTGTCAAACCTCAGAGGGAAGGTAGGGGAAGGTGGCAGTAAGGGGGAGAGATCAACCAAAGGACTTGTATGCATGCATATAAGCCTAACCAATGGACACAGACACCAGGGGCGTGAGAACATGAGTGGGGGACTGGGGGGGTGTGCAATGGGAGGATAAGAACACATATGTAATACCTTAATCAATAAAGAAAAAAAAAGAATATGGTCTTTGGAGTTCATCTGTACCTGGTTTATAGTTGTGATCTTCATGGAGCAGAAAATACACACTTAGCTCATGTTTCTCTTCAATGTGTCTGAGTTGTAAGTAAGACTCTAGCGCTATACATAAGTTTCTTCCTCTGTTTCTATTTGAAGAGTTCACATCCTATTCTACAGAATTACAATATGTCTAACCCTAAATTGTTTACTGGTTTTATACATGACATAAGAATGAGAGTATATTTCTTGGTACATAGTCGTCCAACTTCCTGATTTTCCTAATCAAATCCTCATGTTCTGCTCATAGATGCTCTTTATATCTGGGTGGGGACAATCTCCCCAAAGTTCAAGTTTGAGGTCACAGGCCTGTTTAAACCACAGGGACTGAAGGCCTGGCAGTATTTGGGGGAATGAACTGAGTGAGGCACAGGCATTTAGGGAGTTGGGGCTGCCTTCTTACCCCCTTGAATTTTGTGTTGCATTGGATACTACAGGGAGCTTTGTAAAGAATGAACAATGTTAGGTCCCCATATATCCTCAGCTGCTGAGAATTTGCCACGATTCTTGGTTGAGAATGCAAACACAGATCCCATCAGTGTGGACGACTAATAGTGAAAGTGGGTTTCCCAGGGGTCAGATTAAAAGGAGCACTGTAATTGGGAACATTGCAGGGCTGTACAAGATAAGCATTCTACACTGAAAAGCATTAAGCAAGGGGTTTTACAGTACATGAAATTCAGCACACTTTTTACTCTATGCTCTTTTATGGAGAAAAAACTGTTACATCATCTCCCTAGGGACAAATCACCCATTTGGGCAAAAAGAGCCACGCCATGAATGAGGGGCAAGAACAGTTTCATCAGCACAGATGTCTATTTTTTTTTCTTTTTTAACTAGTGAAAGGAAAATGCTTTTTCTTCTTCTTTTTTTTTCAATGAAAGTGAGCTTTGAGGTCTAATCTTTCAGAGGGTCATTTCTTGCTTATAAGTTGTCTGACCTAAATAGCACTGAATTCTCACATTATAAAAGGAACATTACCAAATGTATACTTATTTTCAAGGAGATATGGGACACTGACTTTAAAACCAAACAAGTGAACAGAATTCCCTTCCCACCCCACAGGCCAGAGAGAGGCTTGGTAATGATGTTGGCGCCATTTACGGGCAGGTGCGAGCCAACTTCCCAATGGGGAAGTTCCACCTCAGAGACCCCAGCATCACACCTGGAACTAATTGGCCTCCTTTTTGGCAAATTCAATAACTAGGCCAAAGATTAAATAGACCTTGGGGACTGTACAACCACTTCCGTTTCCAAGTGCCGTCAACCCCAGCGCAGGAAGGAGGGATGCTGGGGAGGTGGCCCAGAGAAAGGGCTGCCCCACGGGCCCCGCACCTGCCCCAGGAATACGCTAAACACGCTTCAGTTTTCAAAGCTCAAGAATTAAATGCCTGTTCATTACGCTGATGATGCCTTTCAGGATGGCAAGTTCTACTTTCCTGCACTCTGAACCAGAAATATTCACTGGGAATGGCAGGTAGGTACACAAATGCAAAGCCATGCTTTCCATAACACCACACCCCCTAAGGAAAGCAGTATATAAAATATGAAGCTGTTTCATTAGGAAGATGGGTTATTTTTATACAACTTGAGTTTTTTTTCCATATTTTAAAAGACCATTGTATTTTCCTTCCAATTTACACAAATAAACTTCTATTCACTCATCATCCTCCTTTCAGCCATGTCCTCTGTGGCCACCATGTGCTAGCCTCCCTTTGAGACTGAGCATCCAAACAATATGTAAAAAGACCCTGTCCTTGGGAACTCCAAATCTGATTAGGAAGAAATATTAATAATAAGCAATTAAAATGAAGTGTTATACTGACCTAATTGGCAAAGGGAAACGCGGGGCCTTCTTTGAAAACAGCAGGGGTACAAGGTGGGAAGAAGCAGAAGCTGCCTGTTTTGTTTGTATGTCTGTTTTGGAGTCTGTGAGGACTCAGGTCAGAAGGGCCCCGCCCCGTCCACACCCCTTTCTCTGTCTGGAATGTTCCAGTTAAAGAACCAGGTGGTGGGGTTTGGGTGGCTGTGCAGAATTGAGGAACAAGTGGGTGGAGCCCTGAATTGGGGGGGGGGGGGGAATCTATTAGAGATAAAGCTGAGGAGTTATATGGAAGTCAGATCTGAAACTATAGCCAAAAGAGGTTGGGTTTACCCTGGAGGAAATGAGAAAACTTTGAAGTTCGTTAATCCAGGGAGTGCCATTAGTAGCTTTGCATGTTGGCAACACCCTTTGGCTACGGTGAAAAGAATGATTTTGATGGTGAGAAACTAAAGTCGGGGAAAACAGGCACGAGGCTGCCTGTAGCTTGGTGAAAGATGAGGTGGATCTGGCCTGGGAATGAGGGCAGAGAGATGGGGACTTGGTTTTGAGGCCTCCAACAGGTAGAACTACCTGAGTGAGCCTGAATGTTGGGAAGAGGAAAGAGAGGGGAGTCGATCTCAGGTTTCTGACTTGGCTTACCTAGTACAATTTAAAATCTGCCCTAAATCTCCTGTTCTCCTGGGAAGAGACATCACCATTCACTCATTCATCAATTCAACAAACACTACTGAGCATGCCAGGCCCTGTCTGAGGCACTGGGGACACAGCACTGAACAAAGCTGTATTAATTCCTGCCACCGCGGACATTACATTCTAGTAGAGAGAAAGACAACCAACAAGTATATTAGAATGTGTCAGGTGTTGATAACTGCCCAGAGGAAAAAGGGGGATAGCCAGATAAGAGGGTGAGAGTGTTGGGGGGATGTTAGATAACACAGGTGGTGAGAGGAGTGACCCTTGAGCAGAAACCTGGAGGAAGCTGGGAAGGGATGAAAAAGAGTGCTTCTGGCAGAGGAAACGGCTAGTGCACAGGTTTAGAGACTAGAGATGATGTCCTTGGAAAGAATCCGCACGCCACACATCCTCATCACCCAAACGCAGCCAGTCGTCCCGGGAAGGGTCTAACTGAGGCAGCATGCTGCCTCCATCTTGTACCCCCGGCAGATATCCCAACTCTGTTGAAAGATTACCTGAGACCTTAGGAAGCAAAACCTCTTCAGCTTTTTGGAAGGAGAACTCTCGGTGTTGGAAGAAGCAGGGTTGTTACTATCAGGGAATAGATAATGAAAGAGACTCTACAGATTACTCCTTCAGGAAAGTGCGGGATGGAAAAGGCAGGACCCACGGTGTGCTCAAGCCAAGGAGAGGCCTCCCAGAATACAGGGAACAGCCAGCCACCAGGCCCCACAGGATATAAGAGCAAACAGAAGGGGGGGCCCTGCCCAGAGGAGGAGCACCCTCCCCACAATCCACCTTCCATCGGAAGGCTAAGAAGGCATGTGTCTAGGGGTCAGTTCCCAGAGGGGCAAAGAAGGCATTCTAAAGGGTTGGAAAGCAGATGCAAAGGGCACATCTGTGATCCCTATGGCCTTGGAGGAGGATGTAAGCAGAAAAGAGCACAGACAGAACCCAGGCAACAGCACCCTCAAAGGTATGGCCAGAGGTGGAGGAAATGAGTAGAAAGGCTGAGAAAATGGGCAGAGAAGTGGGAGGAAACCCAGGAGAGCTTGGGCCAGGGAAGGAAAGAGCTTTAAGAAGCTAGTGGTCAATGAGAGCAATCCAACAGAGAAGTCAAGGGAGATGAGGCTGACACCCGCCCACAGGATTGAGAAGCCAAAATAAAAGGAGTTGGGAGTGAATAGTGGATGGTGAGGATATTTTTCTCGATTCATGAAACTGTTGGAGAAAACAGAAAGAAATGCAATTAGGACATGCAATTAGGTAGGAATGTTCGTTGAGTTTTTGTTTGTAAGTTTGTTTTGAAGATGTTAAAAGATAAACTGAGACATATTAAAAATTTTTTAAAGCTTATTTGAGCAAAAATCTATGTGAATTGGGCAGCACCAAAGTGGAACTGTTAGGAGAGATCCACTGACAAGAGCTGGGGCAACACTGCTATAGCATCCAGAGAGGCACAGCAATGCAATCATTTGATTGGCTATAGCTTCAGCAGTTGCCTCATTTAGGAACTCCCCCCCCCTCCCCCCAAGACTGTTTGTGATTGGTTGTCCTTAGATTTCAGTTTCTTAACCTTGAGGTATTACAAGCCCAGGTTTTGGTTTTCTAAAGTAGGTTGCTAAGTCATTAAAAGCACTTTAGTCTAATGGTCTCCTTGTTCAATTAATTTACCAGGGAAAACATAAAGGTGGTTAAATATTGAGGGCATAGAAGTAAGTAAAGAGGGATAAATTGAGATATAAGAAGAGGAGGAGAGGCAAAGCCAGGCCTGGATCAGCATTCTGAGGGTGGGGAAGGAGGCAGGGGTGTGGTGAGCAGATTTAGGACAGGAGGTTGCGACTGAATGATAGTATATTTTTTAAATGTCTTTATTATTTCCTTTGCTCTCTATCTTCCAGGCAGCAGCGATGGCTGTCTATACTCGCTGTCCCCAGTGGGAAAAACTCAGCTTTCAGTTTCAAAATAGAGCTCCTCAAATCCCGGCTAAGGCAAATTTGAAGGCTGAGAGCTTTGGTTTGTGAGAGTGAAGGCTGTTAAAGGGAAGAGCTTGGGATGAAAAATGTGAGGCAAGCCTGGAAGATGAATTGTAGAAACTTCATTTCTTTAATATACCCTTTGTCCTTTCTTCCATCACCCAGCACCCCGACTCTCCTGACTTTGCAGTCTTTCCAGGTAAGGACCAGAGGTTGCTTTCCTGAAAAATGGCAAAGGAAGAACCTCAAGACATTAGGGGGAACCTGAAAAACCCTGAGAAATTCACCCAACTTCAGTAAGTATTGCAAGCAAGCGCTGATGGCAACTATGTGGCTTGGCTTCCTAGACATGAGAGGCTAATTAAAGTGAAATCTAGATATTCCATATGAAATTCCAGCAAAGCAAATTTAAATGAGCCTATATAACCAACTACTTTCCTTGTCATACTTATGCATATAACAGGCCAAAGTAAATGAAACTGAATTTATACAATAAGTTAGTCTTAATTTGACTATCTTTGATAACATGAGGGTGATTTTAAAGGGAAAAATTGTTTCAATAGAAACCATAATGTCCAATTGTGGATATTAGGTTCTAGTTCAGTTGTCTTTAAAATCTTATTTTTCACCAATGGACTGGACTGGATCCTGATTTTTTTCTAATGAAAGTGTTTAGTTACAGTCCTCTTAACTAGCATTTCACTTTTTCTCCCATCCTCCCCGACGCACCAAGGTGAGTCTGCTCTGTGCCTCACTCCTTGAAATTTATGGAGAGCTAAAACGCTTTTCCTGAGCCTTGCAACTGCAGACCCCAGCTAGACGACATGAGGAAAACTTCAGAGAAATCTTCAACAACAGTTCCTATGTGAACCATTTCGGTGAGTGATACTGTATAAGCCACACGAAGAGCTTGTTTGAATTCGTGTCAGGAATTTCATCAGGGATGTTTGAACTTCAGACCAGGGGAATCTGCTGGATTGTCCTTGCTTGCCTTCATTCCAGCAAAAATAAATCTCGGAGCCTCTCATCTCGAGGTTCTCAACTGATAGTCATCAAGATTCAGAGACTGACTGTGGTTTGCCCTGGTCATTACTTACAGTACAGGTGTCCTGGCCTACTGCTTTTTCTATCATTGCTGTGGTTCCTGCTTGTAAACTGAACACCTAGAACATCCGTCTAAGGCTCAGGGACCATCAGAGAAGAGGTGGGTGTGTGAGGTTGTAAGAGCCAGATAAAAGGGGCACAACAGCCAGACAAATCTGACTTCATCTTATGAGCTAATCCTCCCTCTTGATGGAATCTGGACCCAGTTGCCCTATATTCCTCAAGATTGAGGAATGATCCAAAAAAAAAAAGAGGGTAATTGTAACCACATAGAAACTTCATTTCTTTAATATAACCTTTTCTCCTTTCCTTTTGATTCAAACTGGCCTCATCCAGCACCCTGACTCACCCACGCCCCTCTCCCTTGAACGTCCACTCCCTTAATCATTAAGCCCACAGGACAATGAGGTTCTGACCGGCATTAAATAATCTTAAGAAAAAAGCCTCAAGTCTGTTGACTCCAAAGATAGAGTTTTGGTCAAACTAGAGACAACATCTAGGCCTCAGTTGTGTTTCAGCTCCAGGCCCAGAAAAATGATGACACCAGATGAGGCAGCACCATGGCTGGCATCGGGACCAGATACAATGATCAGCCACAACCACAACTCCTTAGTTGCCATGATTAATGTGTTTCCCTTATACAACCCACCTGCTGGAAGCCATTGGGGAGCCATGCTTTTGAGCATTAGCTCACCTGTATTTCAGGAGGTGAGCCACTTCCTACAAATAAATCCTTTCGTTTCTGCAAACTCTTGTTTGTGTCTTATTGGGCTTTGACACACACAGGCAAATGGATTCCTTCAGTCCCATAATAAGAGTGCTGGCCTATAAAATAAGTCATAGAAAGAAGGCAGGATTGATGTCAAAGTAAGTTTTCCCAGCATACAGGAAGGAGGTAAAAATCCTTCCTTGTGTTGACATAAGAAACATCCAAACCTGTAGAGAATTTTTATGAGTTTAGCCAAACTAATGACAACTGCCATGAAGCTGAATCTCAATGGACTGAGAAAATGCTCCAAAGAATGGCAGTTTTACAGCTTATTTTATACATTTAGAATGAAAGGAGGGGACATAAGGAAGGTTGCAGGAAATCCATTGTTGTCGATTAAGGGGACAGGAGGAAGCAAAGGGGGGTAGAATCTCTGGGAATGAATAAAAAGTGAAAAGAAGAGATACTTCTTTTTACATTGGTGGGTATAGAACGGTTAATAATGAACATTTACAGCACATAGAGATGGAATGCAGGGAACAAGATAACAGTGCAGGGTTCTGTGCTCTCCTGGTGCTGGGAGATTGTGCTCTTGATGGGTCTGGAAAAGAATCACCCTGACATTCCAAAGGTAAG